TTTAAGATCATTTTGCCAATGTATAAAGATGACTTTAAATTCCTGCCATCAGTAAAGCTATGAAATGGAATGGTTCTCTGGGGAGATTCCTTTGGAACACCACTGGATTTATCCCTGCAGATTGATACCAAACCATTGATGACCTTTTGGGCACACGTTTAGAGTGAGCTTGTATATAAATCACTCTGATGTTAGTAGTTATACAGTTAAAACTATGTTTTCTAGCTTGTAGATGAGTATGTAGTGAAATAGAAGAAAATGTTTTCTTGGTAAGATTTCCCCCATGAACAAATGAATGAAAAAAACATTTATTAAGCCGTTACTACGTGTCAAGTACTGTGCTAAATACTGAAGATACAAATAAGAAAATTAAGATAGTCCCTCCTTTAAAACATCTGACATGATTGTTCCTTACAAAATTCATATAAACAACTGTCCAGATCCTGTGCTGGGGGAAGGTTGGAGCCTTTTGCACTGATGAGGAAATTGGGCAAGGAAAAATTTATGGTGAAACATCTCTAGTGGTTAAGGCTAGGAAACTGGAAGTCATGCCTTTAATGGAATACACATTTGAGAGTTTATCAACTTAACTCTGTACCACAAAAGGTGGCTAGTGCTACTACCATCAGCCCCATGGCATGAGTAGTACTGCATGTCAGAAAACAACTTATAGAATATGTTGGAAAATAATAATAATATTAATGATAGCTAATATTTATGTAGCATCTACTGTATGCCAAGAACTATGCTAAGCAATTTATAGATAATACCTCATTTGAGCCTCACAACGACACTGTGAGGTAGGTGCTATTATTATCCCCATTTTACAGATGAGGAAATTGAGGCAAACAGGTTAAGTGACTTGCCCAGGGTCACACAGCTAGTAAGTCTCTGAGGTCACATTTTGAACTCATTTCTTCCTTTCTCCAGACCCAGCACTCTTATCTACTGTGCTACTTAGCTGTCCAAGCTGGAAAAGGTGCTGGACTTGGCATTAGAAAACCTGAGTTCTGGTCCCTTGTCACTTGTTTACTGTGAGGAAGTGAACAAGTTGTTTCCCCTCAGTTTCCTTTTCTTCGAAATGAGATGGCTAAACTAGGGGTTCTCTCAAGGTCCACAGCAGCTCTAAAAGTTTGTTACTCTAAGTCAGTGTCCAGGAAGAAGCAGATACTAAGTTCAAATCTCTTGTTTTAGGGATTGATGACACCGGATGATGTGGCTGGGGATGTCCGGGAGGAGTGGGTTGTCCGGACCCTGCCCAGAGAATCCTCTCCAGGGTTGCCGTCCAGCAGGGTTAGAAGAATGGGCTCTCAATAGGTAAGGACTTCTGTTTTCCCTTTAGAGTCAGAGGATTAATGCAGTTAGAAGATCCGTTTCCCTAAGGGCTTTAGGGATACTGGTCCTTGATTCCCAGATTTTGTGCGAGTTGTCATCTTTCAATTCCCCCATCTTCATAGCTCTTCTCCTTGCAGAAAGAACCCGGATATCAAACATAATAATCAGTGTCCAGGCCGAAGTCTTTCCTGGGGGTGACAATCATGTTATCTCTTCCATGGGCACAAGTCGAACCTTGGTGCTAGAATTTTCACTAATACCTAAGTTCTCTTCCTTAAGAAGAAGAAAAGGTGGAAACATCTTCAGCTTGTCTGTCGCATCAGTCTGTCCTTTCTTCATTTGGCCTGGGAGAAGCCACAGACATCATCACCCTCTAGCAGTTTAGTTTATCTGACAGAGAAAGAAACAAGGCCTGAGTTTGGAGCACAAGACCAATAGCCATCACAAACCAATGATTTGTGTCTGTTTTCATGAACAGGATTTCCAGACCCACTGTGATTTCCCAGCTTGAGCAGAAAGAAGAACCGTGGGTCCTGGATCTCCAGAGCTTGGAGGAGGGGGAGATCCTGAGAGCAGCTCACACAGGTGAGAAATGAGTAAAAGCCAAGATGGAGAACTTTGTTCATGGTAAGGACTTAGGAACCTTCATCCCTCCATCTTGGCTGTATTACCACCAATTTAATATTTTCTAGCAATAGATTGATAATCTAAGTGAGCAAAGTCACTTTTAAACTGACCATTCAGCATTTTACATTGTCTTTCAGTCTGAGAGAGGCAGTAGTTGTTGAACAAGCTAGACTTGAAGCCAAGAAGGCCTGGGTTCAAGTCTCTCCTCTGACACATAGTGTCTTTGTGATCCTGGGCAATAACTTAACCTCTCAGTGCCCCAGGCATTGTAAGATGCAGAGGAGGTACCAATGTGCCATTGGAGAGAGAGTTTCCTCACCCAGGAGGTTTTCTTACCAGTGGATTAGAGGGCCAAGCCTTATTGTAGTAACTTAAGTCAGACTGATTTTGCCCAAATTGGACATCTAAAAAGTTTTAGTGTAGTTTTAAACTTTAATAATTTTAGACATTTAGTATTTACTGCAAACTTAGAAAAAAATTTTTGAAAGATTAATTTTTTAAAATTTTAAAATTTATGTTATTTTACTGAAATTCAAAATAACCACTGTTTTGTGCTGTACATGGCTTGTCAACATTCAAACTTTGTAAAAACTTATCGGCTGTTGCTCATTAGTAATGCTAGCCTTAAGATCACCCGAAGAATGAGATTTTGACCCAAAAGAAAAAAATTCGATTGGAGATGGGTCTGGTGACTTAGGTGGCCAAGAAAGAGAACCTCCTCTACCATCCACTGATTTGATAAAGTTTTGCCAGTAACTGTCCCACACATAATGCACCATGACAGGGTTCCCTCTTTTGTTAAAATTAAAATTTTAAATTTATGATTCAAAACTCACAAAACTAAATAAGTATAAAAGCAATTTTAATAATTAAATTTTTAAATGATATTTTTTGTAAGTTTGTAGCATTTATACTTTGGAGGTTATTAAAATTAACATTGCACTAAGACCCTGTATTATTACAGGGAATAAAGATATGTCTCAAGTTAAATTTTTGGTTGATTTTGTCTGGCCACCTTCAACAAAAGACAGGCCATCTTAAATCAATATTTTTGATTGATCCAAGTTCTGTGGTTTTTAAAATGAATTTTATTGGAATTTGCTGTGAAGATATATACATCATGGAAACAGCAGTTTTAACTTTTTCCTCTCATGCCTATATTTCCTTTCTTAGTGGAAAAGGAAATCAATGATTATCTATTATCTCTTTTCACTTTTTCAGCCTTTGAGAACCAGGTGGAAAAGCTGAACCAGGAAGTTTCTGAGGCAGCAGAACAATTTGGGTCATCTTCAGGAAGGCCCCAAAAAGATATTTCTCAGAATCCTGATTGGGAAAGAAAATGGGAAAGGGAACATATATTAGAAAGACAACATGGAACTCTCACAGGGGAGGGACAAAGGGAACTCCTTTCAAAGGAGAGACATTTAAGTAAGCTCCTAGGTAGATATGTAGGTGAAAAACCCAATGTGTGTGCTGAATGTGGAAAAAGCTTTAACCAGACTTCTTATCTTATGAGACACCTGAGAACCCATACTGGAGAGAGGCCATATAAGTGTCTTGTGTGTGGGAAAGCCTTCAAACAGAGCTCAGACCTTGTCACTCACCGTCGAACACACACTGGAGAGAAACCCTACAAATGTAATGGGTGCGAAAAAAGCTTCGGTGACAGCTCGACTCTCATCAAACATCAGAGGACCCACACAGGCGAGAGACCATACGAGTGCCCAGACTGCGGGAAGACCTTCAGTCGGAAGCCACACCTTATCATGCACCAAAGAACCCACACAGGGGAGAAGCCCTATAAATGTCTGGAGTGTCAGAAAAGCTTTAGTCGGAGTTCAAATTTCATTACCCATCAAAGGATTCATACAGGAGAGAAACCCTATACATGTAATGACTGTGGGGAGAGGTTTAGCCAGAGCTCAGATTTGGTTAAGCACCAAAGAACCCACACAGGAGAACGACCTTATAAATGTCCTGAGTGTGGGAAAGGCTTCCGAGACAGTTCCCATTTTGTAGCGCACATGAGCACTCACTCAGGAGAGAGACCCTTTAGCTGTCCTGAATGTGATAAAAGTTTCAGTCAGAGTTCTCACCTTGTCACCCACCAGAGAACACACACTGGGGAGAGACCTTATAAGTGTGATGATTGTGGGAAAGGATTCACTGACAGTTCTGCCCTCATTAAGCACCAACGGATCCACACAGGTGAAAGACCCTATAAATGTGGGGAATGTGGGAAGAGCTTCAATCAGAGTTCACATTTTATTACCCATCAGAGAATCCATTTGGGGGAGAGACCTTATAAATGCCCAGACTGTGGCAAGAGCTTTAACCAGCGTTCCCACTTCATAACACATCAGAGAACACATACAGGTGAAAAACCCTTTCAGTGCACCAAGTGTGAGAAGAGCTTTCGGCAGAAAGCACATCTTTTATCCCATCAAAATACCCATTTAACTTAAGTAATACCCTTTAGTTTATCCATTTCTCCTTGTCCACCTCTAGCGAATAACTTCTACAAACAGAAATCCCAGAACCCGATCGTGACGATCTTTCCATAGTCTGTCCTGACTGCCTGTTCCTCGGCTTGGAGAGGACAGCTCTTGAGTAATGCCTCATCTGTTATTTTGCACAATAGGACAGGCAGAAGTGATTGGATGCTGATGCACGGTGTGTGGCACATAGATGTTTGATTAGTAAAGATTGACACTCTAGAGGCATAGTACACACTTACCAAAAGAGAGGAAGTAGGTGTGGACTAGCTAAATTATTAGTAGTCTAGGCCCATAGCCTTTAAAAATTTAGTGTGTATCTCAAAGGGGGCTTAGTTGAAAGCAAATAAGAATTTGGATGAAGCTGGAAAAGGTTATTATTGGTTTGTATTTTCCAGGCATCGTTCAGCTGGGTCGTTGTGACAAAAGAAAGCACGGTGGGTTGAAAAGATTAGGTGCAGGCTGGAAGACTTTTCAGAAGCTTTTTGCAAAGCTTAACTAAAACTGGTCCTTATTGGACTGTTAAAGGCCAAGGGCTATTCCCAAGTTGATCATAGTTTGCTGTTCTCGTTTTCTGAGGCATATAGACTGTTCAGCATACCAAAGGCACTTGAAAGAGGACTGTAGTTTGGTGGAATTTAAATAAAGGGTTAAGTGATAACAGGACTCAGTATCTCCATGACAACAGAATGGGAGATGAGAGCCAATTTCCTCTGCTGAGAGGTTGTTCCTTACACCAATAATTGTGTGCTTATGTATCCTAAAGTCACCGATTCTATGCATTTTTGTCTGCCTCTACTGTATTTAACAGGAATAAATTCCTTAAGTCTTAAAAATGCTGTTCTTACACTTATTAGCTGTGTGACCCTAGGCAAGTCACTTAACCCCAGTTGCCTCACCAAAAAAAAAGAATGCTTTTCTCCTCCTGGGTTCTGACCACCACCCCATTAGGTATCTGTTTCTTTTGCAAGAAACAGCTTATAGATAATGAAACAGACTTGGAAAAGCTCAGTGATTCCTTCACAATTGCAGAGTTGGAATGGACTGAGATCATTAAAGGAGGAAGTCTTCTGAAAACATCCTAAAAAAGTAGCCATCCTCTGCTTGGAGACCTGAAGCAAAGGCTAATTCACTTCCCAAGGTAGTCAGTTCCACTTTGGGACTGCTCTGATTGTTAGGAAGTTTTCCCTCATGTCAAGCTAAAATCTGCCTTTCTGCGACTTCTGCTATTCACTCCTAATTTTGATTTCTGAGACTGAGAAGTAGTTAATTTATTTCCTGTAATATCCTATAAAATGTGTGAAGTTGACTTTTATACTCTGCTAAGTCTTTTCTTTTCCAGGGTAAATAATCTTGATTCCTCCAGGCCATCTTATGACTTGATCTGTGGTCTCAGCATCCTAGTCATCTTCCACAAGGCTTCAGCTCGTCTGTGTCTTTCCTAAAATAGTGAATTGCACACAGTATTCCAGATGTAGTCCCAGCAGGGCAGAGTACAGCAAGACTATGACTTTTCTCATTCTGGCCATGATGCTTCTCAGTGCAGCCTACAATGGCATTAAGCTTTGACTGCCATATTACACTTTTTTTTTTTTTGTGGGGCACTTGGGTTTAAGTGACTTGCCCAGAGTGACACAGCTAGTGAGTGTTATGTGTCTGAGGCTGGATTTGAACTCAGGACCTTTTGCCTCCAGGGCCGGTGCTCTATCCACTATGCCACCTAGCTGTCCCTCCCTCGTATTACACTTTTAACTAGTTCAGCTTATGGCCATCTAAAATCTCTAGATCTTTTCCACATGAACTGTCCTCCATCCATACTTCCCTTGTACATATGCAACTGATTTTTTAAACCTGTGTTGGAATTTACATCTATTTCAATATTCAGTGGACAAGGTATTCCATCAGTGCAAATTGGAACCCATCCTCACTTCATTCTGTGTAATCCTTGGCTATATTCTTATATAGATTCTCCATAGAGGATATAGCCAACATTTTGGAAACCTTCTTCCTCTAGTTCTTTTTATATTTTATATGTTCTTTCCTGTAACCACATGCCTGGCTTGCATCCTCTCCCCACTATACGTATGGTATCATCAAGGATGATACCATGGCATCTTTGATGACATTTGTGGAGTGTGGATCATCATTGGGAGCATGGTGCAGCTTGTTCATGCCTACCACTTGTCTCATTTTTTCCTTTGGCTCTCCTGTGACTTTGACAAAGTCTGTGGTCTTCCAAGAGTTAAGAACAATATTGCATTGCTGGGAGACTTTTGAAAAGATGGATCTTTGCTCTGTGGAACTGCATAGAATCATTGAAAGGCTATAAAAATTTTCAACTGCAATTTGGCCCACTGTCTTTTCCTGTTTAATTCTGGGCCCCTCACTGCCCATCTGGAATATGTGTTCCAAATAAGTCTACTGGTGAACTTGCCATTCAGCTGTGTCATTGTTGGAGCAACAGGCATTTTTTTTTGTCTATTTAATTTTCCTATGTGGATTATTAGGCTGATCATGAATCTTATTGAGGAGGTCCTGAGATATTCTGCAGCTTGATTCAAGCAGAACAATATCCCCTTCAAAAAGAAGCTTCCATAGACATTGTCATCTCGAGAGAATCCCCCCTCCATTTAGATCTTGTTCATGACATTCTTCATGACTGTGGAAAATACCATTGGCAAGCATTTTGTGCTTTATCTGACAGTAAGATCCTTGACAGAGCTGTCTGATTTTACCCCAAATGTGAGAGACTCCTTAGAGGTGAGCCTTTCAGGAGGCAATGGCTCTATCAAGTCAAATTTTTTTTTTAAAAAATTAGTAGAATCTTTAGGTTTCTGTACCCTTTCAGTCACTTACGTGACCTCAAGGATGGGATCTGTTAGTTTGACATTTAAATTTAGCCCAATGTTGAGATTTTTATATAACCTGATATCATCATCTAGCATGTTAACTGACCTTCCTGGGTCATCTGTGGCTTTGATAACATTTGATAAGTTGGCCATCTAGACTTTCATCTAAGTCATTCATTAAAATATTAAATAGTACAGCACCAAGAACGGATGTCATGTCCTCCAAGTTGACAATATTAAACTGTAGTTCAATTCATTAAACCAGTTCCAAACCCAGTCATATGGTCAGCTAATGTATACGTTTGCAGCTTGTTCATAGAGATAATGTGAGGGACTGTTACATATTTTGCTAAAAATACTGGCATGTTGTGTTACTGTTCCTGGAAATATCAGTCAAAGAGTCCTGTCAAAAAAGAGCTTTGTAAGAATCCATTCAAATGTGTTTTTACCAGCCTTTGTCTGGTGTGCTGTCTTTCTCCAAGATCCCATAATTCCTTTTTTAGAAAAAGGTAGAGAAAGCCAGATTCTGACCTCAGATACTATTTTCTTAACCAGTTCTTCACTCCTGAAATCTCCCTTTTTGTCTTTTGGCCTTCAATTAACAATGGTAGCGGGCAGCTAGTTGGTGCAGTGGATAGAGTTTCAGCCTTGGAGTCAGGAGGACCTGAGTTCAAATCTGGCCTCAGACACTTGACACTTACTAGCTATGTGACCCTCGGTATATCACTTAACCACCATTGCCTAGGCAAAAGAACAAACAGTTAACAATGGTAACAGCATGGAGAACCCCTAAGAGCTTCAGTTTCATCCTTTCCATTCACAGCTTCTGTCAATGTTTCCTCCGTTCTTTCTAATGAAAGAATTAGTCCCTAGGAGTAGCTTGTCTTCACTGTGCCTAACGACTTTTGGGAGGGTCTTTGTGGCATCCCGAATATATAAACCTGAGGAAGCAATAGGCCTCTCTGTTAATATTAGATCAACAAATAGTTTCGTTGGTACTCCCTAGCAACCTTGGCAGTCACCACTGCAAGTCTCTTCCTGTAACCACTACTGTATGACCTTTTACTTGCTGGCAGCCATAGATCCACATCTTCATTTTGGGGAGCAGGAAGAGCTGCTTCCTCTTCAGAGGGTCTAAACTCACCCTTGATCTTAAGAACTTCATCCCTGTTACTTAGTGCCAAATGTTCAGTAGTCCTCTTTCCCTTCCCTTTCTAGCACATTCCAACCTCTTTACATATTAGTCTTCCTCTTTGTTTCTTCAAACTTTGTTTTCTCTTTAAGAGGACTTAGTCCACTCTTTCAAGGAAGATTTCACTTCCTTTGGTAACAAGGAGAATACAGAGGCATTCCACCAGCCCTTTTATCTTACGTAATAGGGACTCCAGCCTGCACTTTGTACATACATCGCTGGTACTTGTTACTGACTGAAATAAACCATATTCTCTCCGCAGGTAACCATATAATTTCCTTTGCCCTCCATACTTGTTGGAAGTAAAGCCCTCAGTGAAGCCTATCATTTTGGTTAAACTTCCTGTGCTGTGTTAAGAGTCCCACCTTTTTCTCCTAAAGAAATAAGGCTTGCTTCCCTGGTGCCGGTAGGAGCTTTCTGACAAAGTCCCAGAGCAAACAAAAGTTGGAGACAGTTGATTTTCACAGGATGCGGTTACCCTTATTCTTTGCAAATGGTCAGATTTCTGATACCACTTTGCTAGCTTTCTGTAGTTGCTTCTCTTCAAGATCACACAGCTACCAAAAGAGTCAGAATTTGGCTACAGATTCAGTTGTCTTCCATCCTACTGTTTAGCAAATACTAGCTCCAGAACGTGGTTAAACAGGCAGTGATCATTGGATAAAGCCTTTTAAGAAGTCATCACACCCTTCATTCAGTCTGAGCCTGAACTTTATCTGAGAATTTAGCCTATTATATTCACCCGCATTCTTTGTCACAGCGCCAGGGGACCCTGATCTTCACATAAAGAACCAGGGAGTATGAGCAGGTTAAAGGGGCTGGATAGAGTATGGATGTGTCACTCTATAGAGAGAGGAAAAAATATTCAGTGTAGAGCTATCTTAATCCTCTGAAAATACAGAGTATGAACAGTGCTTTGGGATCCTTGGAACACGTGATCATTCTCTTTTCAGCTCATAAAATTGAATCATATTCTTCTGCTGATTCAATCCTATGACTGATCCTGCTGATGTGTTAATTAAGAGCCTTGTTAAAGTTGAGGTCTTGAGCCTCCCTCTCAATGATTTTCCAGATCTTGAAGGTTTTTTCAATGAGGCAATAATTTCTAACTTGGACTTTCCTGAGGTCCTTCCTGCACTATCTATACAATTTTCTGATTCCCTTGTATTTTCTTCCTTCTCCACTCCATTTTCTACCACAGTGCTGGGAACATAAGTACTCAACGAATGATTCATTGTTCGGGTGAAGAAACTGAGAGGGTGTACATCTCAGTCCTCCAAACAGAGCACTCTAGTATTTCTGGTTGTTAGAATGGTCTCATACAACTGTTGGGGACCTTATAAAAGATAGAAATATGCCATTTTAGGTTTATCTGTGCCTGTCAATATAGCTTTCTTTAAAAGTGTGACCAGTAATGTTGTATAGCAATAAGTTATAAAAGTAGGACTGTGGAAGGGTAGTGACTGAAGACGCAGCCAGGCAGTGGAAAAATGGTTGAATTGGTATGCTGAAATTGAGGCTACCTAAGGATCAGAACCCAAGCTGAGTGGTGGTGAATTGTGAGGCCTCACAACCCCAGGGCAATGGAGGGGAAGGGCCAAGCCACACCACAACCCACAG